TCAAGCCTATGGGAATTCTTCGGCTTGGTCTGCTCAATTGCTATGGGCTTCATGTCAGTCAACTCCTGGTCCAAATTCGGAGTGCTTTGCACTTCATCGTCAACCTGCGGTTTAACAGTAGTCGCTGATGCTCGTAATTCGCGCTTTTCATGAAGCTTTAAATGCTTTGTCAAACTCCTCTCGAAAAGCAAGACCTTGCCACAGATTTTGCACTGAGAGCAATTTTCGCCAGTGTGGATTCTCTCGTGGACCTTACAGGCATACGACTTGCCAAAAGTCTTCCCACAGTACTGACAGGCATAGTTCTTAATCTTCATATGAACCACCTTGACATGATTGGCCAAGGCCTGCTTGTTGTGGGAAGAATGATCGCACTGCCGGCATTGGAACTGTTTTTCCTTGGTGTGCGTCAAAATGTGTTTATTCCACTCCTGTCGAGTTGTTTTGCCCACGCCACAATAAGGACAGACATGATTTTTCACCCCGGCATGGCGCAAGAGATGGTCCTTGAGTTCACTATTTATGTGAAACCTTTTGTTGCAAATGTTACAGGATATAGGCTTCTCCTCGCCAGTATGTTTATACATATGTTTTTTAAGAGCCGTTGAACAACGGAAAACTTTGTCGCATTCCGTGCATGGATGATCCCGTGCCCGAGACGTTATAATCTTGTGTACTTTTTTCAAATGGAACGTCAGTAAAACAGGTCGAGGAAATGTCATGCCACATCCTTCCACAGTGCAGGCGTGCACTTCAGACAGTTCTGAGTGAGCGTGGTCCATATGGAGGCGTAGGCCACCAGACGTAGAGAAACCCTTCTTGCAGGACTCCACAGTGCATTGGAATGGCAACAGATCGTTGTGATGCTTCATGTGGTCGTCGTAAAGATTTGTGCTCTTAAATTTTTCATGACAAATGTGACAGTCAATAGGATCATCAAGTTGCACATCGGCTTTTGGAATGCGTTTACGTTTTGTTTTCGTTTTAGGTTTGTCCTTTTTATCATCATTGTCGATACCCCACTCAAAGCTGGAGGAATCTTCATCATCTACTACAATTTTTCTTTTAGCCTTTGCTTTGGATGCTCTCGTAGCACTTCGTAAGCGAGACAACGGCATGGCGTCCTCCGAGTCGCTGCTGTTTGCTTCGGATTGGGCATCATCATCATCATCACCATTGTCGTTTTCGTTGTCACTGGAGAGATTCTTCTCAACCTCCTCAACTTCTTTGTCGACATCATCCAACATTTTAAAAACATCCTCCTCATTTTCTACTACCTCTATTTTAGTATTTAGGAGCGGGTCAAAGTTGATACGATCTTCCTCCGTTTCCCCATCGTGTGCCGCATTCATTACATCGTCATTGTCAACATTACCCATGACGGGTATGAAATATTTGCTGGCGACCATTTCTTGAAACTTCTGTACAGAGTCTACACATTGCTTCTGAAATCCGTGCAAGTCGTTGAGTCGAGTGTAGCAAGTGGTGCAAAGGTTTTTGGGGAACCCATCGTGCTGTTCCACGGAGAGTGAAGTGCACACACAAAGTTTCTTGGCGAGACCTGGGACCAGAAACAGGTCGTAGGCCGGATCGTTTCGCAAGTGGTTCAAACAAACACGACAAATCGAATGTATGGAGTATTCACTCCCCTCATCCATTTTGTTTTTGCTTATTTCGCTCCTAATAAGATTATAAATGAATACAAATTTCAAGTATTTTTCGATGGAAAAAGCTATGTATACGCGTCCATGAAAGGAACGAGCTAGTCGTGTATCGGTTACTTGCTTTAGTAATCACAAATACTCGTTACATGTGCGAGCTCGAAATGCGTAGCTCAGAAAATTCTTGTGGTCTTTAAAAAAATTAATTTTTTTTTTTCGAAATTCGAGATATTAATTTTAAAACGTAACCATAATTGGCTTGAATATTCTAATTCATATTGATAGTAATAGAGTACCTTTTTTTCTGCTTCTGGCATTGTTTCACATATGTATGTGTACCGAAAGTAGATGCTTGCCCATGTTGCCAAAGGGGTTATCTTTTATAATTTAAATTATAATTATAAAATGTAATAAAAATGATTGAGTATTTACATCGCACCATACATTTGTTATAATGCATACAATCATTTATTTCATGTCTTAAGCTGAAAACAACTTAAAGTATTTTCAAACTTTTGCAGTAACTAAGACTACGAACATTAAGAATAAGCAATAAATTAAGATCAATATCCTAGAATCTAATATTGCAAAGAAAAGCATCTTGAGAGTTCAAACATGATCCATTTTAAGAGCATCCACGCTTATACCAGCCTCAGTCCTTTCCACTTGAAAGCTATCAAGAGATATCTTTTCGATTAGCTGTTCCTTTTGCAGCTTCTGAAGCTGCTCACATGCAGCTTCTTGAATCCTACGAGTTTTAGCTTCCGCTCTTCGTTTGGCTTCACTCTCCTCGAGTTGCTGAGCAAGCAGTTCAGCAGTAGCTGCAGCCCGTTCCGCAGCAGGATCCTGGTACTGTTCATAATTCTTTGCGGGACGTTTGTTAAGTTCGATTTTTGGCCTCTGATGCTCTTTTTTCTGAGGTGTGGTTTTTGGAGCTTTTTGAATTTTTGGTGGTCTGTTGTGTGAAATCATATGCTTTCGCAGCGATGAGCCGTGGCTAAAATGTTTATCGCATATTTTACAGCCATACGGCCTCTCGCCTGTATGCGTATATTCATGATGACGTAGATATTGGGCCTTGCCAAAGCGCTTGGGGCAGAAGCGGCACGCGAAATCTTTGATCTTTTCGTGTATCACCTTATAGTGTAGTTTCATATTCCCAATGTGGTTGAAGCCACGCCCACAGCCTGGACAAATGTGCTGGCCTTCTTTCTTTGTGAAGTTCACTTGTGGGGACCAGGAAGGCACAGAAACTGATGATATTGGATTAACAGAGGTTCCGGCCAGTTGAGATATATCAACACGCTCAACTCTATGCGACTTCTTCGCTTTAGCGATAGATGCGGGCCCCGGTTTTACGTCTACCGGTGTTGTAGACTCCTGGTTAACAATTGAAGAATCCTGACCTGTCTCGTCGACCTGTACATTTACATTAGTCGCTGGTAACTCGCGCTTCTCATGAATTTTTAAATGTTTGGTCAATCTCTTCTCGAAAAGGAAGATCTTACCACAGATCTTGCACTCGCAGCAATTTTCGCCAGTGTGAAGTCTCTCGTGGATCTTGCAGGCGTGCGATTTTCCAAAGGTTTTACCGCAGTACTGACAGGCAAAGTTCTTAATCTTCATATGAACCACATTGACATGATTGGCCAAAGCCTGCTTGTTGTGGGAGGAATGATCGCACTGTCGGCATTGGAACTGTTTTTCCTTGGTGTGCGTCAATATGTGTTTATTCCACTCCTGTCGAGTTGTCTTGCCAACTCCGCAGTATGGACAAACATGGTTTTTCACGCCGGCATGGCGCAATAGATGGTCCCTAAGTTCACTGTTTATGTGAAAGCGTTTGTTGCAGATGTTGCAGGAAATCGGCAGCTCCTCGCCAGTATGCTTATACATATGTTTTTTAAGCGCCGTTGGACATCGGAAGACTTTATTACATTCCGTGCAGGGATGGTCGCGGATCTCAGGCTTGATAATGTTGTGAACCTTTTTCTGGTGATGCGTAAGCATACGAGTACGAGGAAATGACTTGTCGCATCCTTCTACAGTGCAGGCGTAGAGTTCGCAGAGTTCTGAGTGAGCGTGATCCACATGATGTCGCAGACCTGCGGCAGTCGTAAAACCCTTTTTGCAGGTTTCCACAGTACACTGGAATGGTAAAAGATCGTTGTGATGCTTCATGTGTTCCTCGTAGCGAATTGCCTTCTTGAATTTTTGATGGCAAATGTGACAGTCGATAAGACGCTGCATCGGTCGCTCAGTCGTAGAAATTTGCTTGCGCTTCGATTTCCTGTTAGATATATTTGCGTTATCTACGCCCGATTCAGAGCTAGAGGAATTCTCATCATCAGCCATATTCTTGCCCTTTGAATTTGTTTGTAATACCACAGCAGCAGTTCGTAGCTGAGACAGAGGCCTGGCGTCGTCGGAGTCGCTACTATTCGCCTGAAAGTCCACATCGTTATCATTTTTCTCGTATTCGCTTTCACAGGAGGACTCCTCCGTCTCTTCCGCTTCTTTGTCGACATCTTCTAACATTTTGAAAACATCCTCCTCATTCTCAATTATCTCAATTTTTGTATTAAGGAGCGGGTCAAAGTTAATTCGGTCTTCTTCTTCGATAGCCACATCAATATCCTGTGGTGCAACACGCAGCACGTCGAAATTGTTAGCCTGGTTGGTCTGGATTGTAAAGTAATTGTTGGCTAACATGCCCTTCAACTTATCAAGAGAGTCCACGCATTGCTTCTGAAAATCATGTAAATCGTTTAGACGGGTGTAGCAATTGGAGCAAAGGCTTTTTGGGAACCCATCGTGTTGCTCCACCGACAGGGAAGTGCACACACACAGCTTCTTGGCCAGGCCCGGAACCACAAACAGATCGTAGGCTGCAACGTGTTGCAATTTTGATAAACAAGTGCGACATATTTCGTTTATGGAGATTTGCCTCTCCTCATTCATTTTGTTAGTGCAATTTAACCCTTAACCTACTGCTGTTTTTTCACAGATTATTCAGGGATTAAACTATTATTAGATATCGGTTACTAAAACGAGTACTCGTGTAATGGTAATTCGTTACAACTAAGCGCATCACTAGAAACGTTTTACATTTATATGTACGAGTATACCATGAATCTGCGAGCTCATAAATAAGGTGTGTGCAAATATGGGGAAGGGTATTTAAATATGTCGGACATAATACCCTATTACGGCGTTGCGTGCCTACGATTGAGGGTAGTTTTAATTTCCGAAGAACTTCCAAAGCAAAACGAACACACATTTTAAGTACGTTATATGAATTTCATTATTCTAATTAAGCAATAGATGCTATGCAGTACATAGACAACAAAAATACATATGTATTTATAAATGTATGGTAAAATTAATATTGTTGTAAAATACATGTGAGTTACTGTGTTCATGCCACAATAAGCAATTTTAGAGCAATTCGAGGGTATAGATCATAGTTTCTTATAAGACTGAGGAGCTGTAAAAAATTATAGCTATATATAAAATATTGCTGGGTTTTGAAATTGTCTCATCCTCACCGTTCCGATTTATACATGATCTATTTTAAGCGCGTCCACAGTGAGGCCCTCAGCTTGAGCCTTTTGTGCATAGTAGCCGTCATAGGACGTGGTCGCTTTCTCAATCTCCTGCTGCTTTTGTAGCTTGTTCAGCTGCTCGCAAGCTGCCTCTTGAATCTTCCGTCGTTCGATGTCTGCCTTGCGCTTCGCCTCGTTCTCCTCAATCTGATGGGCAAGGAGCTCAGCTGTAGCCGCAGCTCGCTCTGCGGCCGGATCTTGATACTGATCATAATTTCTTGGCTCGCGATCGATCTCCCGCGGCTCGATCTTGTGGAAGGTAGGCTGCACTTCTTCTTTCTCTGGATATACGCGCCTATTGGGCTTGTCGTGTGTCTTAATATGCTTCTTCAGCGCCGTTTCCTGACGGAAATGTTTGCCGCAAATCTTGCATTCAAATGGTTTCTCGCCGGTGTGAATCCATTCATGATGCCGCAAGATTTGTGCCTTTGAAAAACGCTTCGGACAGAAGCGACAGGCGAAATCCTTCACCTTCTCGTGTATTATCTTATAGTGAAGTTTCATGTTGCCAATATTGTTAAAGCCTCGACCACAGCCGGGACAAATGTGCTGGCCTTCCTTCTTGGTAAAGTTGACCTGGGGCGACCAGGATGGCACCGATACCGATGGTATTGGATTAACAGAGGTGCCCGCCAGTTGAGATATATCCACACGCTGAACGCGCCGTGAATTTTTCGGTTTATTTGCTGCTGCTGCTCCTGTCGCGGGCCCGCCGCCACAAGCCTTTAGCAAATCATCGGCTACATTCGGAGGCATCATTCCATCGGGCTGCATATGGCTGGGTATTTGGACACCAGGCAGCGGAATGTTAAGCGGACGATGCGTTTCCACTGGCGGCAGATCACGTTTTTCATGTGTCTTCAAATGCTTCGTTAAACTCTTCTCGCAAAGGAATATCTTGCCACAGATCTTGCACTCGCAACACTTCTCGCCAGTGTGTGTTCTCTCGTGCACTTTGCAGGCGTGCGATTTTCCAAAGGTCTTGCCGCAATACTGGCAGGCAAAGTTCTTGATCTTCATGTGGACCACTTTGACGTGGTTGGACAGAGCCTGTTTGTTGTGGGAGGCATGGTCGCACTGGCGGCACTTGAACTTCTTTTCCTTGGTGTGCGTCAGAATGTGGGCGTTCCATTCTTGGCGTGTGGTCTTGCCCACGCCGCAGTAGGGGCATACGTGGTTCTTAATGCCTGCGTGCCGCATCAAGTGATCCCTGAGTGCGCTGTTGATTACGAACCGTTTGCCGCATATGTTGCATGGATACGGAAGCTCCTCGCCCGTGTGCTTGTACATATGCTTTTTGAGCGCAGTCGGACAACGGAACACGGTGTTGCACTCTGTGCAGGGGAAGTCGCGCAATGGAGCCGCAGACTTGGAAATGTTGTGCGCCTTTTTCATGTGGAAGGTGAGCAGACGCACGCGTGGGAATGTCTTGCCGCAGCCCTCAAAACTGCAGGCATGCACCTCGGAAAGTTCGGTGTGCGCGTGATCAACATGTATGCGCAGTCCGTTGGCGGTGGTGAAGCCCTTTTTGCAGCTCTCCACTTTGCATTGGAATGGCAACAAATCGTTGTGGTACTTCATGTGTTCCTCGTAGCGAATCGCCTTCTTAAATTTCTGATGGCAAATATGACAATCGATGATGCGATGCAAATGCCGCTCGGCAGCAGGAATGCGCTTGCGTTTGGGCTTTTCCTTTGATCCGCGCCTTGAGCCAGGTTCACCGTCGTCGTCGTAGTCATCATCTGAGGATGAAGATGTACTGAAATCCATATCGTCGTCGCCATCAAGGGGCCTTTTCTTTTTAGGCTTGGACTTGGCTGCTCTTGTGCTTTTGGCTTTGCCCCGCATGCGCTGTGCTAGGGGAATGTCGTCGTCGCTGCTGTTTGGCTCAAAGTCTACGTCCCTGTCGTTGTCGTTGCCGCTCTCAATGGAAGACGAGTCCTCGTTGTACATGTTTACTGTAATGGGCTCTTTGATCTCTCTCTTATTTTCTTTGACTTCCTTTTCGACTTCCTCGGCCTCCTTGTCGACATCCTCTAGCATCTTGAACACATCTTCTTCGTTTTCGATTAGCTCCATTTTGTGGTTCAGCAGCGGATCAAAGTTAATGTGCTCATCATCCTCGTTGGGCATGTCGTGCGCCGAGACGCTCGGATCCAATACGTCAAAGTTCGATTGACAAGTGAAGGCGTTGCTGGCGACCATATCTTGAAACTTTTGTACAGAGTCCACGCATAGTTTTTGAAAATCGTGCATATCGTTAAGCCGGGCATAGCAATTAGTGCACAAGTTCTTCGGAAAGCCATCGTTTTGCTCAACAGACAGCGAGGTGCACAGGCAAAGTTTTTTGGCTAGGCCAGGCACCAGATACAAATCGTAGGCAGCATCGTTCTGCAAGAGATTCAGGCAAATGCGACACAGCGTGTGTATGGAGTATGTCCTCGCCACGTCCATCGTGCTTGGTTAATTTGAAGTATTTTTAAATGTTCACAAAATTTTTGCTCTTCGGTTGTTTCCAGCAACAAAAAAAAATAATATTGACACGAAAAAAATTGGTATACTCGTCAGCCAACTAGAACGAGTACAAGTATCGGTTACTCAAGCAGCTACTCCTATACATGTGCATAAATAATCGATATTTCGCGATGGCATACGCCAATGCCTATATCGATACTGTGTTTTGCTTGATCTTTGTATTTGTACATCACTATAAACGCTTTAAACACTTGTGCAAATCAGTTTGGGAATTGTTTATTCTTTAAAATTTTTGAAATTCTGGAATGAGTACAAACACACTGTACTCAGTTCATTCAATATGCCGCGTTTGCCTAGAATATCTCGAGAGCAGGACAGTGTATGACCTGTTTTTATTGCCAGATCTTGCAAAGACATTTACAGTATGCACGTCCTTGTTGGTGGATCCCCAAGACGGCTATCCCAGAAACCTCTGTTCCAGTTGCTTCGCCAGATTAAACGACCTCCATGATTTTCAGCAGCTCTGCGTGGCCTCAGTGCAGCGCTTTAAGCAAATGGTAGCCAGCAAGCTCATCGTCGATGTCAACACAGTTGACATTTACGAACCGCTGCCGGTGGCCAGCAACGAGTCCGCACTCGTGTCCAAGGATGAGCAGCCAAGCAATGAGTTCGATCCTTTGATAAGTCATAAATTGGAGATGATTGACAACGAAGAGGATGTCTTTAAAATGCTGGAGAACGTTGACAAAGAAGCCGAAGACGTTAAACGAATTTTGAGCGACTGCTCATCGGAGTCGAGCCTTAGCGATGATGATGTTCCTTTGGCTCAGCGCCTGCTAGACCAGAACAGCGAAACGGATAGCGAAGAAACGTGTGAGAGGCTGGCCAACTCAAAGGCAAAACGAAAGCGTATTCCCGCAGCCGAGCGTCATCTTCACCGCATTATCACCTGCCATGTATGCCAGCAGAAATTTAAGAAGCAAGTCAACTACGATGAGCACGTAAAGCACCATAACGAACTGTTGCCCTTTCAGTGCCAGATGGAGAACTGCAAGAAGGGTTTTACGACAGCGGCAGCACTGCGTCTACATGTGGACTATGCGCACACGAAAAGCGCCGCTGAAATTCCCTGCACAGTTGAGGACTGTAAGCTGCTGTTCCCACGCATGCGACTGCTGACAATTCATTTAAAAAAGGTACATAATATGTCGCGTGCTAGTGTGCCACGGGCGGAGCAGCCGTGCACCGAGTGCGGTATGCTATTTCGCTGCCCAGTGGCCCTTAAGAAGCACATGTACAAGCACACCGGGCAGCAGCTGCCCTATCCGTGTAATATATGCGGCAAGGGTTTTCACATTAATAGCGCACTTAAAAATCATTTGCTACGGCACGCCGGCATCAAGAACTATGTGTGCCCATATTGTGGTGTGGGCAAAACCACGCGACAAGAGTGGAGCAAACACATTCTCACACACACACAGGAGAAAATGTTCAAGTGCCAGATCTGTGACCATGCTACACACACGAAACGAGCGCTGGATAATCATGTGAAGATTGTGCACGAGAAAATTCGAAATTATGCGTGTCAATACTGCGGCAAGACTTTCGGAAAATCGCATGCTTGTAAAATCCATGAGATGACGCACACCGGCGAGAAGCGCTGCGAGTGCAAGGTGTGCGGCAAGAAGTTCTTGTATACAGAGAGCTTAACCAAGCATCTGAAGATACACGAGAAGAGTGTCGATCGTGCCATCGAGACCTACCGCCAGCGCCAAGTGGAACTCAGTAGCTCAAACCCAACAGCTGAACAGACCTTTAGTGAAGCATCTGATTCTCTGGCGAAAAATGACGCCAATGCAGCGGACCAGCTATTGAAAGTGTGCGCCGAGTCAGTGGCTACAATACCACGGGATCCGCGTCGTGTCGAACGTGTGGACATTGCGCAATTGGCAGGTACTGTTGTGAATCCCATTCCCGCCGTCTTAATGCCCTCCAACGCAGCAACGCAAGTAAAGTTTGTGCAGAAGGAGGGCATGCATATCTGCCCGGGTTGTAATCAAGCCTTTAACAATTTGGGCAACATGAAGCGACATTACAAGAGCGTCCATGAGAAGGTCAAGGACTTTGAATGTCGTTTCTGTGCTCGTCGCTTTGCCAACTCACAATCTCTTAAGCAACACGAATGGATACACACGGGCGAAAAGCCGTATGCCTGCAAGACCTGCGGCACCCATTTCCGTCAGGAGGCTGCTTTGATTCGCCACCAAAAGGTGCACGAAGAGAAACCACCGAAGCCAGCAAACCGTCCAAAACAAATAACAGAAAAGTTTCGGGAAAAGGAACTGCAAAAATGTGAGAAGAGGCGTAAAGTTGAGGCATTGCGTCAAAAGATCGCCGAAGTAGCTAAAGAGGAGCTCCGGGAGCTGGCCAAGCAGCGTATGCTGGAAAAGCGGCAAAATACCTACGCGCAGTATCAGGAGGCAGCAGCGGCGGCTTCTGAGAAGACACAAAAACAAGATGAATCCGAGAGCAAAGAGTTCTCTAACTGAGGGAGCCCATTTGGTGCTATATGCTTCCAAGTATGGGAGATGTTATTGCTGGTTAATATTTAACTGTGAGATAGTTGTCAATAAGATATGATTAAATTTATATTACGACTTTTAAATGAAATCTGTAATTTCTTTGATTGTTAAGCCCCCAAGCAATCAAGCGACAGTTTTACAATTTTTTTTTTATTTTTACTTTTACTTGCTTGTTATATTGATGAGAGTTGTTTTAATGTGTTTTATGATTGCCAATTGTTCGAACTTCAAGCGGATTAAGTGTCTTGAAGTGCCAAACATTGGCATGATTCATGGTGATGATTGGTGATGATGTTTAATGTTGTTACGAAAATGATGGAAATTATTTTAAAACTCGACAAATAGGTAGCAAAAATTATTGTATAAAAATACAAATTGTTACGCAGTTTTGAGCATTGTTAAAATTTTATAAAATTGGCTTGCTTTTACACATAGGTGGTATGTGTGAAAAGTTCAATGAACCATATGAACTGGCGACTATCAGCCCCGCAATTTTGCAGCTCAACAGCTTCTAAGGTGCCTCCGGAGTTTTTAAATTGTACTTGGATTTTATGTTGTTGAGCTCCTCCTGTTTTTTGTCCACATCCACGCGCTTGAAGGCCTTGTTGGACTGGTAATAGAGAACGACGAGGTAGCGATTGCACACATTAAAGCCGGATAAATGGTCGCATGCGTTTTTAGCATCGAAAATGTCTTCGTAGACCACAAACGCGGTGCCCCTTGTCTCCGGCGTGTTGCCACTGTCAATGATTGCAATTACAAATGCAATTAATTAAATGCTTCAATTAAGTTTAAGTTTCATTCACTTACACGCGTATTTGACGAATGGCACCAAATTTTCCGAAAATATCGTACATTTCGTCAGATGTTATTTTATATGGTAAATTGCGTACATATAGCAGCCGATTCACCTCTGGCGGCAGCCGAATCTGTAAAAAATTTTCATTTTAAATGTATCTCAATTATTCCTTTGTGTGCGGCACTCACGTTGTTGCGCTTGTTCATGTCTGGCCGCAACTGCTCTTAAAATACGACTAGCAAAAAACTTTCACTTGACCGTCTGGCTGGCGTTGCCGCTTGTTGACCTCGGGATGAATGTCCTGGAACTTGGTCCTTTGTTAAAATTTAATGGATCTGTCTGTCTGGCCTCAAACCCAAACAAATAGTGATTAAATTATGTTAGAGAATCACGCTATGTTATTTAACATAACATAAAACTGCTATGAACATAATATCAAACGTGTTAATAATATTAATATTTTTCTCTCTACAAATGCTGCAGCAAAAACCAATGATTTATATTTTTTTACAATGTCAATTTAGATAAGAATCAAGGAAAATTAAATACGGCAACATAGTAAACAAGCAAACAGAGCTGTCATCGTTACTTTAACATTTAATTCACAATAGATAAAGACATTTTACAGCACTCTTTTCTTATCGTTATCGATTGGAATGTGACCCTAAATGCTCTTAGTCACTCAGTTGGTCACACTCAAACACCACAAAAAATTCATCTGGCAGAAAAGTGAAAAAGAGAAAATTAAGGGGTTTATCAAGTGTACCCAGCAAAATTAGTTTTAATTCACACCCAACACTATTGAAGGTAAGTTTCAATAGGTGCACTAGTTCTAACAAAAAGTGAAGCAAAATAATGTTTAACGACTACAAAGAACATGGCGGCAGCGACAAGCCTCAAGTAGTTATTACATTATGTGTTTTTTTTTTCACGCTGTCTGTATAACTGAGCATGTGTGCGTGTGTTAGTGAGTGTCTGTGTGTAAGTGTAGAGAGATGGCCTCGGACAAAGTTCCTCGTACTACCCTTTAAGAGGGCGTTCAACTCTCGTAGTATGGGTGGGGTTGATTTAGACGGTATATCTAATTAATTTGCACATCTCAGCATCTCACATAAACTGCATCAAAATGACGTGGGAACCCCAGGCAGAAGGTCTTCAGCAGATCATTGGGATCTTAAAAGAATCTCAGTCACCAGACACAGCGACTCAAATGGCAGTCCAAATGGTAAGCCAGCTGCATAAATAAGCAAATAAAAAAGGCTCAAGTTACTTTTCGTTTTCATTAGAAACTGGAGGAATTCAACCGTTATCCAGACTTCAACAATTATTTGATCTATGTGCTGACCAAATTAAAAACGGAAGATGAACCCACACGTTCGCTGAGCGGCTTAATACTAAAGAACAACATACGCATGCATGGCAGCAACCTGCAGCCAGAGATTGTTGAATACATTAAACACGAATGCCTTCAAGCTGTGGGCGATGCATCACCTCTGATACGCGCCACCGTCGGTATTCTGATCACCACAATTGCCAGCAATGGAGGTCTGCAAAATTGGCCACAGTTGTTGCCATCGCTGTGCGACATGCTTGATAACCAGGACTACAATGTGTGCGAGGGAGCATTCAGTGCTTTGCAAAAGATCTGCGAGGATTCAGCTGAAATCTTAGACTCGGCTGCTCTCAACAGGCCACTGAACGTGATGATACCCAAGTTCTTGCAGTACTTCAAACATAGCAGCCCCAAGATACGCTCTCACGCAATTGCATGCATTAATCAGTTCATCATTAATCGATCCCAGGCGCTAATGCTACACATTGATGCGTTTATTGAAAATCTGTTCAATCTGTCGTCTGATGAAGATCATGAAGTGCGCAAGAATGTCTGCCATGGCCTAGTCATGCTGCTTGAAGTTCGAATGGACAGACTAATGCCCCACATGTCGCAGATCATTGAGGTAAGCAATTAAAACTAGGATAAAGTATACTATATTGCTCTAACTTTGCTATTTTATGTATTTTCTTGTCTTTGCTCAGTATATGCTGCTGCGCACACAGGACTCCGATGAGGGCGTAGCCCTGGAGGCGTCCGAGTTTTGGCTGTCGCTGGCGGAGCAAAGTATTTGCAAGGATGTGCTAGCACCGTATTTGGCCCAGCTGGCGCCTGTGTTGGTGCGTGGCATGAGATACTCTGAGATCGATATTATTCTGCTTAAGGGAAATGTAGAGGAGGATGATATGGTGCCGGATCGCGAGGAGGACATACGTCCACGCTTCCACAAATCACGCACACACACCATCAAAAGCGGTGAGGTTAGCCAGGCGTCCGGTGGTGAGGAGGATGAAGATGAATTCGATGATGGCTTGGACGATGATAGCTCGCTATCTGAATGGAATTTGCGCAAGTGCAGCGCTGCCGCCCTTGATGTATTGGCGAATGTATTTCGCGAGGATTGTCTGCCCATTGTTCTTCCTATTTTAAAGGACACACTGTTCCATCAAGAATGGGTTATCAAGGAGAGTGGCGTGTTGGCACTCGGCGCCATTGCCGAGGGCTGCATGCAGGGTATGATTCAACATCTGCCTGAATTGATACCATATCTGATTAGCTGCTTGTCCGACAAAAAAGCGCTGGTGCGCTCCATCACCTGTTGGACTCTCTCGCGCTACGCTAACTGGGTTGTCAATCAGCCGCATGATCAATACCTAAAACCGCTAATGGAGGAGCTGCTCAAGCGTATCCTGGATTCAAATAAGCGTGTGCAGGAGGCCGCCTGCTCGGCTTTTGCCACGCTCGAGGAGGAAGCTTGCACCGAACTAGTTCCATATTTGGAATATATACTAAAAACACTCGTTTTCGCCTTTTCCAAGTATCAGCACAAGAATCTATTGATCTTGTATGATGCTGTTGGCACCTTGGCTGACTCTGTGGGTCACCATCTAAACAAGCCACAATATATTGATATATTAATGCCGCCACTAATTGACAAATGGAACTTGCTGAAAGACGATGACAAGGATCTGTTCCCATTGCTTGAATGCCTGTCTAGCATTGCAACTGCCCTGCAATCGGGCTTTCTGCCCTATTGTGATCCTGTCTATAGAAGATGCATATCGCTCATTGAGCAGACAATCAATCAGGAGATGGTATGTCATCATCCTGAAATTATATTAGCATATAGATAGACAATTCTTATTTTTTCAGCTCTGCAAGCAAAATCACACATTTGATCATCCCGATAAAGAACGCATGATTGTTGCTCTGGATTTACTCTCTGGCCTGGCCGAGGGTTTGGACAGACACATTGAAACTCTGGTAGCTAATAGCAATATTATGCATCTGCTTTACCAGTGCATGCAGGATGTTCTGCCGGAAGTAAGTTCATTTATTTGAGAATCTTAAAGCATTGTTAAATTTTGTTGTTGTTATTGCTGTAGGTGCGCCAATCCTCATTTGCTCTGCTCGGTGATTTGACTAAAGCCTGTTTTCCACATGTGCATCCGTTTATGGCCGAGTTCTTTCCCATATTGGGTCAGAATTTGAATCCCGATTTTATTTCGGTCTGCAACAATGCGACATGGGCTATTGGCGAAATATGCATGAAATTGGGTGAGTCCTCGAGAATATTTGTTATAAAAATAACATCAAACAAGATTTTAATTTGTGAATATTAATACAGCTTGAGTATGTAAACAAAATATTTACATATATAAAGTATATTAGTTCTATTCATAGAGCAATGATATAATCTGAATTCTTTTTTATATTATCTAGGGGAGGAAACTAAGCAATACATACACCTTGTACTAACCGATCTCTTCATCATCATCAATCGCCCGAATACGCCCAAAACGCTGCTGGAGAATACAGGTGAGTAGATGCAAATGGGTGTGTGTGCTATGTGCAATCGTTATTAAAGCTGTATGCAATGTATATGCGAAATATTTATATGTTTGTGTGCGTATGTGTGTACGTATGTTTGTACATATGTATGTGCGCTATCTAAACATTTATTTCTGGTATCATTTAACGTTGCATGTGACTCATTGTCGCCGATTGCAACAACAGTAACAATAATAAACAAAACATGTGAACATCACATATAACACATACCATCATTGTATTGTAAGTTTTCGTGAATGTTCAACTTTTCGTTGTGTGTAATTAGTTGAAAACGAATCGATGCAATACAAACACACAAAAAACTAAGCAAATACCAAAAAATCCATACAATAAATGTAATATAATTTATTCAGTTGATTTATTTATATTTTTCTGTTCTTTTAGCAATAACAATCGGTCGTCTAGGTTATGTGTGCCCAGTTGAAGTGGCTCCTTATTTGCCCGAATTTGTACGACAGTGGTGTGTAACACATTTATCAAATATAGTTTTTTCATTCTTATCATTATATATCTTATTCTTATTGCATTTCCTAACTAAAACTTTAAATTATGCTTTTAAAGAATTCAGAACACGCAACAGAATTTCCTTTTACAGTAATTTTTGATCTTCTGTAATATATAAATTTCATTTGTGCTGTTCCTTACTTTTTTCTTCCATTTTTTAATCTTTTGCTTCCATTTGAGTGTTTGCCTGTGGCATGCTCAGCTCTTAGATGTTATATTTAATTCTTTTTTGCATGATATACCCAAAACAGGTGCACATCGCTGCGTCACATACGAGATAACGACGAAAAGGACTCGGCTTTCCGTGGCATGTGCCACATGATCACCGTGAATCCAGCTGGCGTTGTGCCTGACTTTATATTCTTCTGCGATGCAATAGCATCATGGGTAAATCCGCCACAAGATCTGCATCAAATGATACAAAAGGTATGTGTCTTATCTTGTTATTTCAATTGAAAACTGTTTAACTGACTTTAATTCGCTTAAACAGATATTACACGGCTTCAAGACACAAGTTGGTGAAGAGAATTGGCGTCGATTTGTTGATCAATTCCCGCCAACTCTAGCCGAACGTTTGGTTACAATGTACAACATATAAGGTGGCATTGGCTTCACGAACAGTCCACATACCACACCCATAAGCAACTTATTAACTAGACAATTATGTTTATGTATGCAAGTAAGCGTGTCGTCGTCTTTAAACTTAGTGTAAGCACAGTTAGCAGACAAATGTTTAATTAGGCTTATTCGATGCAGTTCGAATAATTCAATTACATTAATTTTTGGAATTTCAACTTATAAAGTCAACTACAAAACGCCGAAAAAGCAAACAGCAAACTAATACAATACATTTACAAATTACACATATATAACTACATAACATTTAACCCAAATAGGTATATCATCATGTACATATATATATATATATCCTATAGATATATATATGTATATGTATATATATATTTACATCAAAAGTAGGATTCTCTTGTATCTGGATATAAATTGTCAGTCTTACTCCGCAGTAGCCAATTCTTTATATTTTGCATACTCCCATTGCAAATCAAATTATACTTAAATACATTTGCGTTCCGGCTGTACTTATACCGGAACCAGTGCTATAGCTATAGAAAACACATAAAACACATACTCCCAAACAAGCTCTAGGAAATGCTATTCACACAACAATAACCAGTTGAATATGCTTATTTACTGTGTTTACTTATCGCTAATTATTGGTAATTTTAATTTCAACGTAAGCTAAAAATGATATTGCGGTCCGTCTCGCGTATATTATAATATGATATAATAATGATATAACGTAAATCAAAGCAACAATCGTAACCGGTAACCAAATAAAAAAAGTAGTTGGGCTAATTGTGAACTGAAAATCAAAAGAAACGTGTGCTAAAATATTAAACAAAATTCTGCAAAAATATAACAAATATTTAATATCAACAAAGACTGATGGCTTACAAAAAAAAAAACTCCGTTCAATACCATAGACATGCATTCATCATCTGCCGAATGATTTTCACAACTATACCCAACACTTTCAATAATAGAAAATATATAAAAATATCGTCGCGTCTCGGGTTTCGGGTTCGGGTTTTACGGTTTCGCGTTCGCGTATTATCGTCGCTCGTTCGTTCGCTCGTATATCGTATCGTATCGTATATCGTCGGGTAATAAAACTAAAGAAAAAACTAATAAATAATAAGAGTGCAACTGTTACTGATACAAATTTACTTATAATGTATACGACTTGATATTTATATGCTATGCAATTTAGAGAATTTTTTTGTTTTTGTTAAATTAACAATATGAGATTAGAATTCCGTTAAATATGATATTTATTTTGTGCGATCCTTAAGAAATGTAAAAAAAAAGAAGAAAAAACCAAGCAACTGATTGACTGATTCAATTTTTAAAGTATTATATAATTTTTGTATAGGAACATATTTAAATATTTTTTTTCTCCGACTTTTGCTATAACTTGCATAGACTTGTTTTGGCGTTTCCTCTGGTACGCGTTACCTTATTATTTATGATGTATGTACAGAACAAATTTTTAACGATTAGGTGTAAAGTGTACTACTTAACGGAAAACAAAAGTCTTTGAAATTGTCGCGGATCAATACCTAAAAAAAAAAACAAACTTAACTCAAATCAACTCAAAAAACAAAGTAAATCTAAGTAATAGTATTAATTATATGCAAACTGTTAAGCACAGTTTGTAATTTTATTTCCTTTTGAAAAACAAACAAAAAATAAGAAAACAGGGGGAACGTGTGATAATAATGTAACTTCGGGTCGTTCGTTCGCGTCGCGTGAAAACTAAATACAATATATATAAAATAAACAATACGGGACTTTCGCCCCCGAGTCCCCAATAACATGGAATCAAACATATAACTGAAAACTCAAAATAACTGAAAGCAAAAGCAAAACTAAAACTAAAAGAAAAATCGTGATTTCGTTGTACCTTAAACCGAATTCATCGCGGAATTTCGGTCGCGTTCGCGTGCGTTTGTATCTCTCTCGGGTGATCTTAGTGATTAGCGATTAAGCAGTAAAAATATTAAAAACAAAAAGTATAAATTTAATAAAAAGCAACAATTACACACACACACACACTCACACACATACATACACATACAAACACCTAATACATAGAATATATACATAGGCATATATAATATTTCTAGGTTATGCATACTAGGTTTTCATTCAAACTATTCATTTCATTCAAAACAGTAAAACCAGAAATAATATAAAAATTTCTTGGTTTCTATATGAGAATTCTGTTTAGAACACACACTAACACATACAACCAAGCACACCGGCAATTTTAAACGGAACTCTTAGGTGTATAACCCTGTCAGAATTTTTGTTTGCAAATTAATTTCTTCCTGTAAACTTCACACTATCGAAACGACACAATTTTATTACAAAAACATATGTACAACACATGTATATATGTATACCAAAATAATTAATGTATAAACTATAGCAAGTCCTTTACACAATATGAATATGTAAACGATGAAAAGCACACGGCAGTGTCAATAGAATATTGGAAATGCTAGAATGCATGGATTCCAATCGACTGAAATTTGAACAATTGTCAAGTTCTATTGTCACTCTGCTAAAAGCTGAAACTTGCGCATTCAATGTTCTCTAAGGAGACATGTGTAACCTAATCAGAAACTTGAATAAATATGTATGTATAACATAATCATTAAATCAAATAGTTTTTCATTAAGAAGAGTTCTTTTATATGAAAGAGTGTATGTATTTTATTAAGTTGTTGATTCAATATTTATTTAAGCAATTGACAAGAATATTTTCAAAGTTACAAGAAATCTGAACAAATTATGGGTATTACGGATTATTGGCACAAGATATTACTTATATAATAGTTATATGTACGACGTTTAGCTATACTGTTAGTCCTTGTTATACAGAACTCCCAGATTATTCGATAGCCCGTCGATATTGTTCGCATTTTGTTCGTTCGTAGTCCTTTTCATTTCATTTCAGTTAAACCATATGACGTCAATTCAAATCGTTTGTCCTTTACTGAAGTCCAGAGTCGTCAATTATATTTGTGGAGGGTTTAGTTCAAGGGGCAAACACCTTGCCAAATATCGCCAAAGACAAGATTTGGCGTTATGGTCACATCCTTTTTGTTGATTTGCACATTCTTGATGCAGCCATTGAAGGTCTTTTTGGTCTTGATGCCCGGCGCCTTGGCGAACGCATGATGGCCGCCCATGAACAATGGACGATTCGTCTTGGTGAATGCCGAACCCTCATTGCCCACGCCCGGTCCAGAGCTGACAAAGTCCACGGCAATGGTGATGACGAACTTGGATTTGATTGCCTGCACATTGCGCCAAGTGCCATCACAGTAGCTGGCATCGTTTGGCAGCGTATAGTTGGTAACAATCGTATTCTTGGCATCGGACTTGACGGTGAAGCTGAGCGTGTTGTTAACCAGCTCCAGAATCAGGTACGAGTTCTTGCCATGCACCGAGAACAGTAAACCGTTTGGATCACGTGGTCGGAAGTCAAAGCTAATGGTAACTTCGGTGCCGACAGAGAAGCGCTCAAAGAGCTTCACATAGCCGCTCGGCTGATGGAAGTATAGGCCGTGCTCCACTTGCTCGGAGCAAGGCACCACCTGATGGACTATCGGCTCACTTTCCAACGCCAGGCCATTAAACTTGATGTCCCTGATGCAGCCATTGTAATATGATGTGACATTGCCGCCGAATTCGGTTTGGCGTTTGAGATCCTGCTCCAAATATCTGGTGATGCCTCCCACATAAACGGGCAGCTCAACCGATAAATTGGGTGGTGTGCGATCATTGTTCAGCTCCACGGAACCCGCCTGCTCGACGCCGTCTATGCTAAGACTAATCTTGCGATTGGTGCGCACAAACTCGATTGTATGCCATTCACCATCGAAAAGATCCTCCTGACTGATTATCTTTGCCTGGATGGTGGCACCAACGCTCACCTGATGATATACACGCCCATCAGACAAATAGACCGCTATGAAGTCATTCTTCTCCTGGCTTGCTGCATAGAAAAGCAGGCCATTGGGATAGCTGGTGCGTATGGACATGCTGATATCGTAATGTTTGCGCAGTCTAACCGGTAGCGATTGGAATTCGAGGCGCTGATCTTTGAGCGAGTAGAAGCGATAGCCCGCCTCCACAAAGTCAACATCATAGTTGGGATTGACGGACATCTTGCAGCTGGGATCGCTGGGCAGATTGAGGATTGGTGGCGGTCGTGGTTTGCCTATCATTATCTTTGGTGTGGTGGGCGGACCCAGTGGCGGCAGTGGCTCCCTATCCTTTATAGGCGCCTCTTTCGTGGTCGGTGTTGAAACAGTTGTTGGGGCTGTCGTCGTCGTCGTTGTTGTTGTTGTCGTCGTTGTTGTAGTTGTAGTTGTTGTAGTTTCGGCGGGCGGAATCATGAACATGTCATCGTTGTCATTTCTGAATGGTTTTCTGGGTGGCTCAGGCGGCTCCAGTTCGTTGGCTCCACTTGGGTAGTAGGTAGGCAAATACCTAGGCTCGTAAGCTAAGTGAGGGTTCATAGAGAAATGTGTGAAAACCTACGACCAAAGATAGCAGAAGACGTTGGAAGCTCACCTAGAATATCCTGTGGACAACCGTTGATGTTACCATTCTTCTTCTCAGCGCTGTCCGCGAAGTTGATAATCTCCCCGTTGACGGTGACGTCGCTGATGCAGCCGACGAAGTATGCGGTAGTGGAGATAGCCTCCTTAGGTGGTATATAGTTATCTGGCAGTCCGCCAAAGAATATATCGCCGCCCTTTATCTCGAGAAGTTCATTAATGGCCCGCCTGACATAGAGCAGTGGGCAAAGGAATTAGAACGTGGAAACTTATGGAATAGCTGATTTGGCTAACTTACCGCTTAGCTTCGGTGTCATCTACGGAGAGAAGCAGCTGAGCGGCATCGTGGTGCACAGTGACCACATGATCCTCGCCATCGTCATACTGGCGACTGTCAATGGCCAGTTCGGTTCCCATGCTGCGTAGCGTCAGATATCCACGGTCCAGAGTGAGGCCAATAGTTGAGCTCTGGTCATGATTGGCGGCATAGAAGAGAACTCCGTCGGGTTGGCGAGTTTTAAAGCGCAGCACCACATCGAAATTGTTGGCTGATGAGATATTGGCGATGCGTAGGAAGCCGTACTCATGTGGTGGATATGAAAGCGATGTAGAGTACTTGTCGGGGCAGCCCTCAACCACGCCGGTGCCATTGACGTACTGCGTCAGATCGACTTTGTAGCCAGAGATGCTGACGTCATCAATGCAGCCATCAAAGTTTTGTTCGACAATCTCGGAGTGATTGCGTCGTCCAGGATAACCACCAAAGTACATGCGCTTTAACTTGGGCATTTCTTCGTCAGCGCCGATGGGCGCCTCCTCTTGGAACAGCAGCACATCGTCCACCTTAAGCAGACCGCGACGACCGTCGCGCTCGGCTACTACACGATGCCATTGATTGTCATTGTAGCGATCCTGACTGCCAGAGGAAACCAATGCATCACCCAGCTTGAAGCGGAAGAAGATGGCTCCCTCGACCAGCTCTATGGACATGTAGTGCTTATCACGTCCATAGAAGAACAACAATCCGTTTCTGGCATCCTTGGCGGCCTTGAAACGGAACTGGATGCTAGAGCGCGTCTTGAAATTGTACGGAGCTGCCTTCATTTGGACAAATCCGTTGCCCTTGAAGCGCAGACCAGTGACAGGCATTTGTTCCTCCAGCAGAATGTCGCGTTCACGTGCGCCTTGCTTGTTCTCCTCGCCATAGACAAAGTTCCAGAGGCCGACATTCTCATCACCAATGCGCAGATCCTCAATGTCGCCGTTGAAGGAGGAGGAGGTGATGTCTTCGGGTGCAATAAAATCGGAGGGACCCGGATAACCACCAACAAATAGGCGACTATTACGATCCACATGCAGCACATTGTTGGCGCCAACAAGATAGCCAGACTTGGTATGATCCTTCACCTCACCATTGGGCAGCTGCTCTCGTATGGTGAGCTTGGCATTGGAGCCTACACGTTCCAATATGGCCTGATACCAGTTGCCATCCGCCACATGCTTAGAGCTGGTGATGCGTTCGGGTCCATTACCCAAGTCAATGGTCATTATCGGATATCCATTGGAAATCTCCAAGGCGACAAAGTCCGTATTCTTTTGGCTGGTCTTGTTGTCGTTGCCCAGATAGAGGAGGAAGCCATTTGGTTCGTTGGTGCGGAAGAACGTCGATAGTTTCGTCTTGGTGGCCAGCAGTGGTGCCTTCTCGGGCGTCTTCAACTCCAGCACGGTGCTTGGCGTAAACTGTACACCCACCTTGATATTGTTGGCAATGCGCCTGGCGGTCTCAATTTGACGTTTCAGGTGCTCAATGTCCTGGCCCAGCTTTTGGCTCTTCTCACTCACCAGCCGCTGCTGTTCGCCAATCTCATCGACAAGCTCATTTAGCTTGGGTATGGCTGTGTCCACGTTATCCAATTGATTGTTGGCCTGCGAAATGTCTTTGTTGGTAATGTCCACATCGCGACTGATGTTGCGCGCCTTTTCTAGCTCCTTGGGCGTTTGTGCACTTACTGGCTCAAGGATTTTCAGGACGTTGTGCAATATGTCAAGTGCTTCGCTGGCGGTGCTATTGGAGCTCTTCCACATATCGCGCTGCGTTTCGGCGGGCAGTTTCTTAATCAGTATGTTGATCTCTTTGAGCTGCTCCTCCGTGGCGGCATTCAATTGCGAGATGTCCTGCACTTTGCTGGCCGAACCATTGAGTCGTGGCTCAAGATCATCTTGCACCGTGAGAAGCGCCTGGCGAGCTTTCTGCAACAACTCCGCGGACTCTACATCAGCAATAACGGCACGCTCTTCAATGCCATCGGTAATCAGTGTGGCATTGCCTGCAGCGATCTTGGCATCCTGAGCCAATTGTTCCGCCGACTGCACAGCTTCGACAATGTTGGAGTACGCGGTGGCTGCCTGGATGGCCGGGTCAGCGCTTTGCGTCATGTCGGCATATTGGCTGGCCAGATCTTCGGCTCGCACGGTCAACTCAGCCGCACGTTGCTCGGCCTGCTGCGTCAGTTCTTCGGCCTCCTTGTGCTGCTCGTCGCGTTCCGGCAATTCCTCATCAACATCCTTATTGGCGGTCTTGAGCACTTCCAGTGCACCGCGCAGATCGTCGAGCTTATGGTCAATCTGTTCCAGTGTCAGGTCACCATTGATGAGGTAGTTGCCCGCCTCCTCAATGTTTTTCTCCGCCTCGTGCTCCTGATCGGATACAGTATCGAACTTGGAGTTGTCGTACGCCCGCTTGTTGGCATCATTCAGGCGCTCCACATCGCTGGACTGACGCTGCGATTGCTCGCTCCAGTTGAACAGATCCTCCAGCTTGTCGCTGAACTCGCCGATGTCATTCTTCAATGCATTGAGACTTCTATTCTGCTGCTTGATGGGCTCAACCAGCTGATCCACCTCGTCGTACAGCTGACGCGCCTTGTCCAGCACCAGCTCATTGGACTGCAGTTCGATTTGCGTGCCATTAATTTGGTTGAGAATGTGCTGCGCTTGATCCAAAGCTGCATCAATTTTAGTGCTAGCCGTGGCCTCCAGATTCTGCGACAAAGATTCGACGGCCTCAATGGCATCTGTCGCCT